AATATGATACATGTCGTACAATACTGCTAGTTCATAAAATTTCTCTTCTGATTTTTGTCACTACTACACTCCCTTGAGTGTGTGTGTGTGTGTATGATTATCTGGCTAGTATGCACTGGTGCAGCAGCTAAGAAGGAGATCACCACAAAGAGTAGAACTCAATAGAACAGTAAAACCAGAGACTTTGTATAATATTCAAGAGCTACTTTTCCTCTACAGTTTACGGGATAATAAGCAAAGAAGATGCTAATTCTAGAAAAGCAAACTAAAGCAGAGATGATACTAGGACTAGTAAAAAGTAGTAACAGAAATAGCTAATGCAGGAAACAAGGGTAGTGGCGCCTGTAGCTAATGCAGTAACAGAAAGTGGCCAAGATGATGTCCCGCCGGCACAAGATAAGGGAGTGTAGCCTGCATCATACACCCTTACAGGACATGACTCAAAAAAATGAAAAATGCATAAATAAATTTTACATACTCTTTAGCATATCTTATTCTACTCAATCTTGATCCTTGAAACTTGATTGACTGGTGCATGATGTTCCTGAATTGTTAGTACACACAATAATAAATATACAATACAAACACTATGAGATATAAATATACAATTAGTAATGTTTGTTATCATCAAAATCATAAACTCTAAAGCTTGAGTTGCAAGAAATGTTAGATCTGACAACAACAATATTGTCAGTTAAGGACTTGATATGCGTAAGGTACTGAGTGATAGATTGATCACGCATATGAATGTGATGAAGTTCATTTTTTAATTGAATTACTTGGACCGATTTGTGGGTTGAAGACTTTACTCAAATGCATCCCAAATCTCATATGTTGTGGTTAGATGCAGAATGTAAGGCAGAACAACATATGATATAGTAGAGAAGAGGGCAGACACAATATTTTGATTGATCATATAACAGAGACAGTGATCATTTTAGGTAGATCTCAGGGAAGGTTCAGGTGGGTAGACTTGTTGTCCTGTGACGTACCGCTCAAATCCATTAGCTGAGAATAATTAGTGGATTTAGAGATGCCAAATTGCATAGTTTTCATTAATGAGATGGATGTTGACAATGAGTCTAAGGTTATACATCATAAATTTTATGGGTGGTGGTACGGTGAAATTAGCCATGGAAGAAGATAAGGAGGAGGTTGGTAATGTTGGAGAGGAAGAATCTAGTTCTGCCATTAAAGATGGGAGAAGAAGCGGTAGCCCAGGATTGCTCTGATACCATATAAGAAACCCTGCAAGAAATGTTAGAGAAGGGAAAGCAGAGACAGAGCCAAAAGTATTTGATATCAATTCAACTAATGTGTTACATAAGTGTACTATTGTATATGTATAGTAGCATAGTAGACAGTCGGTTAGATGTAGCAGGGTTTGTTACCGACTGTCTGCGTCTATAGAGTGAGTAGAGCAATCACCCCGTGCTGAGGTAGGAAGGTTACGTTAATATGTGGTAATCTTGCAGCACATTGAATTGGTGTGTTGACAAATCTAGTAATTGAGAAGATTCAAATATGCACCTTTGGGTTTGCAATGAATCCATCAATGAAAATGTCAGTTACTGTGCCTCTATTCCAATAAGCATGAATGTCGCTTGTCATGATCAAGATACTATGGGCTTCATTTCACACAGCTATTTTTATTACTTTCTAAAATAATATTTTATTATAAATTTTTTTGAAATAAAAATTTTTATACTAAAAAAATATTTTAAAAAACATTAAAAAAGCTGTCCCAAACAAAACCTAAGATGACCATCTAAACTAGGGGTGTCAATTATTGACATGACCCGACAACCCGACTAGAACCCGACACAAAAAATTCGGGTTAGGGTCGACCCATTTAACAAACGGGTCGGGTTCGAGTTTCAATTTTCGACCTACTTAAAAAAATGGGTCGGGTTCGGGTCAACCCGATAACCTGAAATGACCCGAATAAGCCTCTGTCCGTTTTAATTTTTCCCGCGAGGGAGGGAATCGAGGGACCGGACGTCCCGTCACATTGTTGCCTGACAAGCATTCCGCATCTCCTGGCAAGCCGTCAGCATCTTTGAGGGATTGCACCGACATCAATCCCATACGACAACACACGACGACCTCACCGGCACCCAAACTGCCTGAGCGTTGTCACCTGGCCAGTGGCCAGCCTGGTCCCGCCCGCTGCCAGTTGAGACCCGCTTCACTGAGCTTCAGATGGCAAATCGGCGAACCGTGCCTGATTTCTTGCTCGCGAGTCAGGTCGGGTCAACCCAATAACCTGAACGGGTCGGTCCGGGTTGAAAAACCTAACCCATTTACAAAACCGGGTTTTAGTGTCAACCCATTTATGGCCGGGTCAAGTCGGGTTCAACCTGAACCCGACCCGTTGACCCAAATTGACACCCCTAATCTAAACAGATATTTTGCTTTCCCATGGAATAGAAAGGAATTCAAATTAAGTAGAAAATAGGAGAAATTATTACCTACGGAGTCCAGACGAGAGAACCGTCCAGATTCTGTGAGAAAATATAGTAAAATATATCATTTTATATTTTACTGTGCTACCATATTACGAAAATGATGAACAGAATGGAAAGGGGAAGGAAGAAATTAATACTTTTTCTGTATTTAAAATATATAATAACTTCTGTATTAATGCCTGAAAAAAAATCAATAAAAATAATGCACTACATAGATGAAAACATATTATAATAGAAACATATTTAAAAAAGACATGATAAATAATTTAATTATTAAAAAGTAATTAAAAAAATTAGAATGGGCCTGGTAGCTCGTAAATAGACAAAATAAAATAAAATTTTATAAAACTTAAATTAAAAAGCTATAAATAGATAACAAATAAAATATTTGCATGTTATCAAACATATTGGCTTTATTCAAATTTTTTTTGCCCTTATATATGCATATTAACTTAAAAAACTTAATTAAATAAAATTTAAATTCTAAGAAAAAATATAAATAAATTTAAATTTTATATTTGTTATGTTTTTAAAACTTTTTTTTAGGTATTATTAAATTTTATATTTGTCAGTGGGCGGTTGTATGTTAAATAGGAGAACTAGGCCTACTTTATTTTTTAAATAATTAAATTTATTACACCTATTTTTTTGTTCTTCCAATTTCTAACTGCATGTATAACCAGTTGAAAAATCAGCCCCAAGCAGAATAAAGTAAATAAACTGTAAAGTTGACGGATGTAAATATGTAATATGCTGCTAATACTAAGGGCTATTTAGTTGTTTATAAAAGGAGGGTAAAGTATTTTAAATCCTCAGAGTTTTGAAAATATTGATATTTGATTTGTAGTAAAATAGATTTGAAATTTTTTTTGTGCATTTGTAATACACCATATAGTGTCTTTGAAATTATTCTAATTTGGGCGTGTTACAAATACATCAAAAATTTATTGTAATTATCGCCGCCCACACGTCGACCACAATTGTCGTTGCTCTCCATCACTGTTGTCGGCCACCACCACCACTGCTAGTGGCCAACACCAATGCCACCTGCCGGCAACACCACCGTTGTGCGGCCGCCATCACTGTCACCCACCCACCAACTATCATCGACTGCCTTTACCTCTGCCCATCAACACTGTAGCTGACCACCATCACCGCTGGCCACCTATTGCCGCTGACCACTATCTTTTTGCACCTTATATTCCATTTATTTTACTTCAAAGTTCAAACCAGAGAAAAAAAAAAAAACCTCATGCATTCCTTTATAATCATCTAAACAATTTTTAAATATTCTTTTAGAATTGCATTCCATTTTCAGTAAACCAAATGGCCCGGAATTCAAAGTGGTTTTCTTATTCAAATTTGATTCAAATGAAGCTTGGTTTGTTCTTCGTTATTTTTTATTATGATTTAGAGATTACAAGATTACATAAACAAATACAAAATTTGAAGTATATGATATATAAATACATAAATATTTAATGATACGTGAGTAAATCCCCCATAAATAGTATATTGAATTCAATGAAAGGCATCCTTATATAAATTGGATTATATACACTCAAAATTTTTTCCATGATTAGATTTGACAAATAATGGAACTATTGATGCTTCCGTTTGCTCTACTCACCTCTTCTCAGGGCGGAATCAACTTCAGGGGGCAAGCATAATATAAAAATAATTATATATATATATATATATATATATGGATAAGTTAGGACAAAAGAGTTTTTTAGGGTGGACAAAAATAATATTTTAGGAGGACTTCTATACTTTTTTTTTCTCTCCTATAAAAAACAATTTTTTTTTTTGGGGAGGGGGCGGGGGGCCCCCTATCCTTAACGTGGTTCCGCCATTAACACTTCTTGCTTTTTTTAAAAAAATTATTTTGTGTAGATACATACGAATGTCGTCCAGAGGCGAATTAGAACTTGCCATGTCACCCTTTTGATGTGTACCGTGACTGTATACCAGGTAACATGGCACGGTGTGATTCACCTCCGAACGGTCCAGTGTCCGCACAGAATAATTTCTCATCTTTTTTTTTTGGTAGCATGTAGGAGACATTATGGAAATTCAAATTTACTAAATTCTAAATGGTTAAATTTTGTAAATTATGCGGCATGATATACATTTTATATTATTTTGTAAAGATGATGTAGAGAAAATATATTTTTAAAACTATTATAGAAAATAGCTTTCAAATAAAAAATATTTTGAAAGCTGTAAAAAAGCAATGTTAAAAAAAAAAAAAAAAAACAGAAGTTTGAAAAATAAAATTGAAAGAAATGAATTTCATTTAATCAAAATAAAAAATAATATGAATTTAAAGATCTTTTTAATTTAATAATATTAATCGCTAATATTTATTTAATTTTATAAAATAATATATATGAAACAATATTAAGTTTAATAATAATTTATATTTAATAAAATTAAATATTAAATAATAGTAAATTGATTAATTTAATATATTTTTAATTAATTAATAATAATTTTAAATCTATTTTTAGAAAGTCTCTATGTAATGCATTAACCGAAATCCTCGCTTCCTCCCTTTACCGCGCCCATACAATACCCTGCGACTGCGAGGAAATCGAGACGGAGCACGGAGGCGATGCTCAGTAAACAGAAACCCTCGTCTTCTTCCCTCGTTCCCGCTTCTGTTCCTACCGGAAACCCCAACGAGAAAAGGAGCTAGGAAGTCACGACGGGAGCTTACTGGGAATGCAAGACTGCGCTTTTCTGTTTGTCTGAATCCCGTAAGTCCGCTGAACTGCAGCATTTAGTAAATCCGGAATTTAGGGCGGAACGGATGTAAAACAGGATTATAAAAAAGTAGGATTATTTCAGTCATCGGGACCGAAATCCTGCTTAAATCCTGCGTTAATCCGGCTACCAAACAGCCCTTAGTTGTCTTCCAGCTCTCTGTTTTCTCTACATCCTTACTCGAAGTTCCTCCTTACCCTCTTCACTTCATCGCAACTTTCTTTATTATATTCCCTTTTATATTTATCTACTCTGTATCTTTCGCCTCCTTTACTGAGCAGCAGAGAAAAAGAGTACCGGAACCCTAGAGGCCACAGAAGAACATGTCTGCGTGCGTTTACATTCCTGTTCAGAACTCGGAGGAGGAGGTGAGGGTTGTACTAGACCAGCTACCACGCGATGCATCGGACATCGTGGACATCCTCAAGGCGGAGCAAGCCCCACTCAACATCTGGCTTATCATTGCGGTGCTGGTCTTCTTAGAATTCCTCCCCCTTAACCTTTATTATGAAGTTTGTTTACTTCATGCCTTTTCCATGTTCAGTTGACATCTACCTCGTTTTACTTATTGTTGCTGCCAGGAACATGTATGATCAACTTAAAATTGCCTTTACAAATTTTTTGAACTTGAGATCACTACACAGGCTTTTCCTTTAAATTGAGCAAAGAATTTAACAAAAATTTCCTTGCTGAGGAACTTGAATGCCTTCACAATTTAAATTTGCAGTCCCCCTCTGGCTCACTTGAGATGATGTTTTCAAATTATAATTTTGTATTCTTGCAATTAATGGTGTTCTGCATAAGCATAATATGGTGAACACCCATTCTTATGCAACATTTAGTCTTTCTGACCCTTTCCAACAACAGTTGATTTCGGCATTATAATTAAAAGAATTTAAAGGAAAACAATATTCTAGTTTGAGGTATTTTGTAAATTTTCTGGGGTGATTTGGAGCTCATTTTAGCTGAGCCGGCTTCAAATTGAAATCAATTGTTGCACTTGGCTCAAATTATGTGGAATGTAACTTGGTTAACCCTTTGATCTGAGCCATCAAGTTTGCGTTAAGCTTAATGTTGTTCCAAGCCCTATTACAAAGCCAACATTTGGCTTCATTCAATTATATATTCATTCATACATATGCAGAACAATATATTATTAGCTATTCATTTACTGTGCAGGAATTATGAATTTGTAATAGGTAAAGCCAAGTTTATTTTGAACTAGCCATGCTCAGAGCTTTTAGAATTGTTTTGAAGGTTGTTTCACAGTGGAGAAGCTCCAGTGGCAGATAAGATCAGAGAACTCCAGTGGCATATAAGATAAGAGAGAGTCACCTTATATGGTTTGATCACATAAAACGGTGGCCTTTCGATAACCCGGTTAGGAGAGTATATGTATTAGATTTGGCTTATGTTAAGAAAGAGGTGGACCTAAGAAGACTTGGTTAGAAAATATTAGAAATGACCTTTCTTTATTAGATTTAAATGAAAATTTGACTCTTAACAGGGCGCAATGGAGAAAAAGAATTCATGTAGCCGACCCCACATAGTAGGATAAAAGCTTGTTGTTGTTGCTGTTTCACAATGGGCATTAACCTCATATTCAACTTCAAACACATGCATACAAATGAAAATCAATTAGAAATTTGAGCAATTATGGTGTAGTAGCCATTTGAGGCCGATGTATAAGAGACCTTATGAAATGGAAGTAATGAACTGTCAAATTTTTTTCCCACATAATTTACGGTATTCCTTAACATGACATAATGGAGAAAAAGATTCATGTAGCCGACCCCTCGTAGTGGAACAAAGGCTTGATGTTGTTATTGTTGTTGTTGTATAATTTACGGTATTCCTCCTGTATTTTTTTTGCAGCACCAATATTATAATACCAATTAGTAAAAGTGTTACATATAAAAAAATAGTTGCAAAGAATTTCCGTAAAGAAACTAAAGAAACAACATACATTAGAAATAACTGTAAAGAACTTTCGTAAAAAAATGAAAGAAAAAAAAAAATATTAGAATGCAATAACTTAGAAAGTAAAAAATTAATATCCCTCCATGTGATGAGCAGCATGCCCTCAATAAGATTAAACTAACTTTTTCCCAATGCAGAATATCAAAGTCATTGGGCAAGTTTTTATGCCTAGATTGATGTCTAGTAAACCTGGGGGATTGAAGAGAACTTTTTTCTGGTTATTTCTTAATTTGGAAAATACAATTTGAAACCCTTTATCTGCTAAACTTAAAATGATTCTGATATAATATTGAATCTGAATCACCATCAATCTCAACTTCAAAGTGAACTTGATTAACATGGGGTGCTATTGTTGGACAATCAATATAGTTATGAGATTTGTAGTGGAAGTGACTCCATCAATAGGAAGGCAAATATTTGTCTCATGCAAGACTTTTGAATGTGCTACATGACAGAAGAACATCATCTAAAAAAATGGTAGATTTAACTTCATCATTTGTATTTATCTCACAAAAAAAAAAAAAAAAATGTAAAATTTAATTTAATATTTTTTTTTTACCAAAAAAAAAAAAAAAAAAAAAAAAAAACTTTGAGAACTCACATCCCATTCATTTGAATTTTTTCTGATCATTAGTACCCCAAAAGGAAGGTTTTCTTGATAAATGATGAGCCTTGAATTGATCATCATAAGCACGAACAAAGATTTTGCAAAACTCACAATATGGGGGTTTTCTTCATATTTTATTTTTTGTCAATAATCACATGATGAAGTGCCAATTCATATCTTCTTTTTTGAAATAGAAGAAGAATCTATTTTAACAAGAACCTTGGCCACATATAGTCTTGAAAATCTAGCACCAGCAACATTCACTTGCCAAAATTTTAACAAGAGAATATACTGTAGATGGGTTGATATAGTGGACACATACAAGAGAGAAAAATACCTATACTAGAGTAATAGGAGTCTCCTTTGAAATATCAAAATATGGAGACCATTTTAGCATGCACATTTGTAAACCATTCATAAAATATGATATACAAGAACTAGTCTAGAATAATTTTATCCTACATATGGTTTGATCAGCATAGGATTGTGATCAAGACTTCCAAAAGGAAAAATTTTAATAGAATGTAAACGTGACATGAGTTTGTGATGCAGTGGCCTATTTGACTTCTTATGATTGGCTTATGGCCATTTGGGTTTTTGTGGACTGTACCATATTCCCTATTTATTCATTGCTAATGCATTTAATTTTATCAAAATTTCTAGATCTATTATCTCTTACCATAATTATTTTATATATGTTATTTTCTTCTTTCTTAATATTAATTTATTGTGTAAATCATCAAAAGCTATATTTTTTGCTTTACTCATTGTACTCTTTGTATGACTTTTGGTATTTTATAATCGTTATTAGCAGTATATTATAGAGTAATAGCCATGTATGCATATCTTAGGAGTATAATGAAAGTAATCAAAAGAAATCATTGCCCTAGGGATAATGTAATAGTATTTGAAAAGTGAGGAATTATTAATCATTCAAGATAAGTTTCTAAGAGAGGTATATTGGAATTCTTTGACGAGCCAAATTATTGTTAGGTTAAATGGCTAGTTCTATGAAGAATATTGGCATATGAGTTTTATGAGTCTAGAAACATATCATACACTAGTAATTAAGCTTGGTGGTGGAGAGAAGAGGTTCTAAATGTTACTAAGAAAACAAATGTGCTCTTAAAAAATGTGGCATAGGTTAATATAAGGCTTATATTGATTATAAGAAACTTGCGTTATTGCAAAGAGAATCTTAAGCAAAGTAAAAGTTGTAATTTATGACTATTCATATATTAGATTTGTGCTATGAAAGGTAGTTATAGTAGTTAAAACAAAAGATAAGATATTTAGAGATTTTGATCATATTACATTTCTTAAAAACTAAGATTATAGATATTATTTAATGATAAAGTCATTAAGAAAGTATGATAATGTTACCTATAGAAATTATTAAATTAGAGTTTCTAAGCTAGAAATCATTTTAAAAGTACGTAATAGAGAAAATAATAAGGTATGATAAATTTCATAAAAAAAGTAAAATTGAGTAAGTTTTGAAAAAGATGCGTGTATATAAACTTTAGGTTAATATTATTTATATTTGGATATGTATTAGACATGGTGCAAGGGTTTAGTTAACAAATATTTTTAATGAAACTTTTCATATTAAAAGGATGCTAAATAAATTTGCATATTAATAATTTGTTACTGATATTTAAAAACAAATGTGATGTTCTGGATTTATTAGTGGTACAGTAAGTTAAAGAGTGATTTTGAGAGCAGAGAATAGATGAAGAATGCTAGTTTTGGAGAATCAATTTGATTTCATGCCAGAATATGTATTATAAAATTGATTTTTTTGTTGGAACAATTAAAGTAAAAATATAAAGGGTAGAGGAAGAATTTTCATATAGTTTTTATTGTAAGATGACAAATGATTGAGTACCACGGGAATTGATTTGGCGTGCATTAAAAATGAAAAACATGTTTCAAAGGGTTGTTGAATTTTATGTTAGTTGTGTATTAAATTAATAATTATAATTGTAGAGAAATCAAAGAATTTTCAACTATAGTAAAAGATTATATAGGTGATCAACATTGAGTTCATATATTTTTTGTATTAGTTATGAAGACGCTTATAATGAATATTCAAAATAAGGTGCCTTTATGTCATAGTTTTAATTGTGAGATATCTATTGAAATAATTTTTAAGTTAGAATAATGAAGAATATTTTTTTGACTATGGATGGATTATAAATTAGAAATAGTATAACAAAAACTCAATATATGATATGCAATTTTTGGTGGTTGTGATATTAAAAATTATCAATGAATTTTATTTGAAGATAAAACAATGCTAAGTGTTATATGTTAAAGTATTTTTGGATTTATTATGCATGAGGATATGGATGCGAATATAACTTCTAGAGTTTAGGTTGGGTGGTTAAAGTAAATAAATGTTTCATATTTTTATGTGATATATGTTATCAAAGTGATTTAAGGGTAAGTTGTGTAAAATTATAATTAGCGTAACTATGTTGTAAAGATTTTTAAGTATTGTGTTATGAAAAAAAGTATGCATGGTTATGTTAAGTGCGGTAGAAAGGATAGTATTATGATGGATGTTTGATCAAATTAGGAAGGATAAATTAAGTAATGATTGGAATGATATCTATTAAAGATAGATATATTGTTTGGACATGTACAAGCTACAAAGAATGGTAAAATTGCACATATTTGATGTACTTATAATTTATCATTGAAGGATTAGGAAAGCAAATAATGGTAACACGATAGAAGTTATTCAAAATAATTTTTGAAAGATAGGTTTAACTTTTCAGGCAATGCAAAGATGCAATGAACGTGAAATGAGGATTTATAAAGCAGGCCCTATCTAGTTGAGATGCGTCTAATGATGATGATTTGTTAAACAATTTGACTAAGATATGATATTAATTAGAAGGTGAGTCAATTAGCTTGGCATATCTTCTGATCATCTTTATGATTCCAAAATTCACATATTTGTATTTTAAAATTATATAGTCATCATCATCACCGTCATCAATATTTGCCTTATCCATAGAAGATGGCAACAACTAGAGTTTTTGTGAACCAACCTTAACTTGGTCAACTTGAAAGTAATTCTTTTCACTCATCTTCTATTGAATTGAAAAAAAAGGGCCGAAACTCAACGTAAAGTTTATTTATACAAAATTACAAACACATATACATAATTCTATATATGTACATTATAGTTATACAAAGATATATTTATTTAATTGGATTAATATTATGAGCAATTTTTGGTTTAAATTTTTTATTGAGCCCGCAATTTAGCTGTTGACTTAAAGTAAGTAGAATTGATTTTCTTACTCTGATTAAAGTTCAAGGGATTGTAGAGCGAACTCGAAGTTTTACAAATACTGCAAGACCTAAGTTTGAGTTTCAAAACATTGTATCAAATTAGTTTCCTTGAGCATCTTCATTTGTATAACCATGTAGCAATATCAATCATAAGGTGTTGCCATGATTTTGCATTCTCTTCTAAGGGTGTCAATAAATGAGTATGGGTTGACTTTGTTAATAAAATGGCCATAAATGAGTCAGGTTGACCCGTAAACCTTCTTTTGACCCAAAAATGACACGTTTAATTTTTTTCTTTAAATTCTTTTGCTTGTGGGTATGATTTAAACTCTATATTTGATAAGTTGTTAATTTTTTTTAACTCAAATGGGTTAACGTGTTGGATTTGAGTCATTAGTGTTGCTAGAAAATTAAGTTCGGGTTGACTGGATTCCGATCTGGTCAGTTTCGGGTTGGACCTAAACCCGACCCGTTAATTTGTTTTGATGCTCCTACTCTCTTCTTTATTCCTATTCTTGTTCCATTACATTATTGTACTCTTCATTTTAGGGGTTTTAAATTCAGCGGTAGTTGTTGGCATTTCAAACATGTGGTGCATGGTTTATAATTTGATGTTTGCTGCACTTTCTACGAGGACATATTGAATAGTAGCAGGTATCATACGGGTTCTTTCTTAGACCTTATCCCGCAAACTTAAATGTTTAGGTTATGGCGCACTGTACATCTCAGTTCCTTTAGGATGAGCGTGAGTTTAACTAAACAACAATGAATGTGACGCTAATGTTTGTTTTGTTTAATTTAGCATGCATGTTTTTTGATCTTGTTTTATAACATCCCATATACAGGTAATTGTGACACTAATCTTTGTTTTGTGTGATTAGTGATTAGTAAGATTGTATGCCATTTTTTGGTATAAGTCATATTATTTATTGCCTTTCAGGTCTTATACCGAGATCCATTTACCACAACTAACTTTTTGTCATGTTTTAAATTATTGCTTTCTGACGGACCTTGTTTCACTCGTTTCTTTTTTTTCTTCATTCTCTAATTAAATGCTGTAATTTCCCATTTTATTATGCAACCAGGCAATCATTTTTTCTATATTGTTTGTACAGAGGGAGTACTTTAAGCAAGGAAAAATTGAACAGTTCAGACAAATTTTGGAGGAAGGGTCTAGTCCTGGTACCTTTTTTTTGTGGATTGTGTTATTTGTTCCCTGGATTTTGATCCATCAACTTACTTAGCGCCTGTATATTATGCATTAGTATTTATGTACATTGTGTGACATAAGGAAATTTTTATAATGTCCAGAAATAGATGAATACTATGCTGATGTTCGGTATGAACGGATTGCCATCCTTAATGCTCTTGGAGCATATCATACTTACCTGGGTAAGGTTGAGACAAAACAACGAGAGAAGGATGATAATTATGTTTTAGCAACTCAATATTACAATCGAGCATCAAGGATTGATGTTCATGAGCCTTCCACTTGGATTGGAAAAGGTAAGAAGCACTTGATCAGTCCCTTTAGTTTCACTCATTTTCATATGCCATAATCCCGCTTATACTAATTGATAGTTGAGAATCTTTTGTCCGACTTTTGCCTATAAGAAGTATCATTATTGTGGAGCACTTGGCATATCACATTCGTTTAACTGTTACTGCTAAAGTAGACATTTCCTTCATGGGATATGATCATTCCCTGGGGAAAAACTTCTGGATGATTTATCGTTATAATATCTGCTCATTGCCTTTTTGTTTTCCAAACTGAGAGAATGTGGTGAAACATGAAGCTGAAGGCGGAGGTGGAATCCTGTCCCTGAGTTACTTCTCAGATAGAATAAGTAGTTTCATACTCCTTGGTTGCAAGGGCGGAACAAAATTAATAATTGAGTTTTGTGAAGTGGTTTGTACTAAAAAGACACTGGCGCAGGCTAAAGTATCTGAATGAGTGAAGGTTGAATAAATAGAGTTGAATTCAGGTCTAGATAATATGGCATGTATTATGTGATAGTTAGTTACATGTAACTAAGTTGATATGAATTCAAATTAAAGTTAATGCTATTTGTCATGTTGTAATTGGTTATTGCTTTAAATAGGTGCAGATCTCAATTTAAATTTAATGGCGTGTTTCTTGAGGTAGAGACGACTATTAGGTTGTTAAATTCAGAGAATTGGAGGGGGAAAAGACTTAATTTTATTGCACAAATTTGTCCATATTTATATATCTAGATAAGATATCTTAATAAAGAAACAAATAATTACAGAATAATGCATAATTGCTCTAATATAATCCTTCCTAAATTAGCCATCTAAATATGGAAGGAGATCAACGTGATCCAGGTGAGCCTCCCACGGATTCCCATCTTAGCTGTAGGATCAAAATGCCAAGGGATGGTAGGATTTAATAGGTGTGCCTCCCACGGATTCTCATCCTAGCCATGAGATCAAAATGCTAAGGGACAGCTGGGATTTAACACTCCCCCTCAAGCTGGGGAATACAAGTCCATCATTTCTAGCTTGGTAATCAGTCCTAGAAAGGTAGATTTATCGAGTCCCATGGTAAGAATATCAGCAAGCTAGTCTTTTGATGAGACATGGTCGATACATATAAGACCATTGTTTAAGTTATCCTTTATGAAATGTTTGTCCACTTCTATATGCTTGGTCTTGTCATGTTGAACCGGATTATGAGCTATATTAATTGTTGATTTGTTGTCACAGTGTAGCTTCATGGGTCCTTCCCACTTGATCCTTAGGTGTTCTAGAAATATCTTGATTCACAGTAGCTCACATATTTCTAAGGCCATAGCTATGTATTCTGCTTCTGCACTAAATCTTGCCACCACATTCTATTTCTTGCTTCTCCATGTAACAAGATTTCCTCCAAGGAATGTGCAGTATCTTGAGGTAGATTGTCAATCTATTGCCAATCATGCGTAATCTGCATTAATACATCCTTTTGGTGTTATTCCACAGTCTCTTTTGAAGAGAATCCTTTTACTTAGGTTCCCCTTAAGATAGTGCAATATTATGTCTACAACTTGCATGTGAGTCTGCTTTGGATTTTGCATAAACTGGCTGACCATGTTTATAGCGAATGCTATATCTAGTATGGTGTGGGAAAGATAGATAAATTTCCCCACAAGTCCTTTATCTACAATTCGATCTTCTTTAACTTCCTCCAATTTGAGATTTGGTTCTACTGGTGTTGGTGCCGGCTTACAAGCTAGTTTATCTGTTTCTTTAAGAAGATCATTAATGTATTTTTGTTGTGAAATGAAGATTCCTTTGGAGTGAGCTACTTCAATTCTAAGAAAATATTTTAATCTACAAAGATCTTTAATTTTAAGTTCTTTTGCAAGACATTTCTTTAGAATTACTTTCTCATTTTCTGTCAAGATGATATCATCCACATAAACTAATAAAATTGTGACTTCCCTTGAGTTTGAGTGCCTGAAGAATAATGTATGGTCTCCTTGGCTCTGTCAATAACTATTAAGTAGCATGACTTTTGAGAATTATCCAAACCAAGCCCTAGGCGACTATTTTAGCCCATATAAAGCCTTTTTTAACCTAAACATTTTGTTACCCCTAGATTGTTCCTTGAATCCTGGTAGAATCTCAATAATTATTTCTTCCTCCAATTTCCATTGTAGGAATACATTTTTGACATCCAACTATTCTAGATGTCAGTTATAATTAGCTGCTAGTGAGAGCAGGATCCTCACGGTGTTCATCTTGGCCACAGGTACAAAATTTTTCTAGTAGTCAATCTTATACGTCTGAGTGTGCCCTTTCGCCACCAATCATTCCTTATACATTTCCATTGTACCATCAGCTTTGTATTTCACAGAGAACACCCATTTGCAGCAGACTGATTTTTTTTCCTACTGGCAGGTCGGTGATATCCAATGTATTGTTCTTTGCAGGGCCTGCATTTCATATTTCATAGCACTTTTTGAATTTTCATCAGATAAGGCTTCAGAAATATAAACATGAATATGAATATCATTTTGTGTAATAAGAAAATTTTTGTGTGAATGTGAGAAAATGTCGAAGAATATAGAGTTGGTTATGGGATACAAGGGATGTTTTTTTGGTGAACTTTATTTATCTCAATTTAGGAAATGGTTCAACAATTTAGGAAATGATTCAGATTCTTGGATTTGCTCCGGAGTGTAATTTGGATTTGTACGCCTTGAATACACTTTCTCAAACCTTGTAATCCATAATAGATTGTCCTCGGTTTCCGTAGCTTTGATTTCATGTTTAGGTGGATTGATTTGAGGCGTAGTTGAAAGGTCAAGAGGGGCAAGCTCATTTTCCTCAATTTTCTCAGTTTTAGTCTCCCCATGAAGATGAGATTTGATGAAATAAGATTTTTGTTCATAAAAAAGAACGTCAACAAATACAATAGTTTACTTGGTAGAGGGATGATGACACATATAACCTTTCTGGGTGGATGAATATCCAACAAAGATATATTTGAGTGCTCTTAGATTTAATTTTTCTCTATTTTGACTATGAATATGAACATATGCATTGAACATAAAGATTATGGGCGTGAGATTTTAATTGGTTCGAAATTCAAGATAAAAAGAGGATATAATATCCATTGACCTTTATAATCCAAAGGTTGTTGAAAGTAGTCGGTTTATGAGATATGTGGTGGTTAGAAGGGCTTCCCTTAGTAGGATTTGGGTATATTGTGGTGGAATAAAAGTGCACGGGTGGAGGCCAGAAGATGACTATTTTTTTTCTACTACTCTATTTTGTTGTGGGGTATGAATGCAGGAAGACTCATAATTGATACATTCCTTTTGAAAGTTAGAGGATAGAGTTTAGCTAAAATAATATTTGGCATTGTCGGAATAATTTTTTTATTTTTATCCCGAATTGATTCTGGATCATGGTGTGAAAAATGGGAAGGATAGTGCTCACATTGAATTTATTTTTAAGTAGAAAGATCCAAGAGACTCGAGTGCAGTCGTCAATGAAGAATACAAACCATCGGGCCCTGAGATGTTAGGAATTTTTGAGGGTCCCTAGATATCACTATGAATATGATAGAAAGGGGTATGATATCTCTCAATTTTGTTTGGAAAAGAAACTTGTTTATATTTTGGCTAACTCACAAGTTTCACAATGAAAAGATTCATTTTTCAACTAGCAAAAAAAAAAAAAAGCTATATATTTTTTAAGACATCAAAAGATGGATGCCCTAATCTAAAATGATGAAGCTAAATAGTAAATTTTTTGTTAAATAAGGATAACATAGAATATCCATTATTGATAATAGTGGATTTGTTCAGCTCTTCCAGATAATACAATCCATCTCTCTCCTTAGCAAGTCCAATCTTCTTCCCCGATTCTTAGTCCTGAAATAAGCAACAAGTAGGGTTAAATAGGACTTGAAAATTATGATCATTGGTATCTTTTTGTATAGAGATCAGGTTTGTGGATAATTGAGATATGTGGAGCATATTTTTTATAGTGAGGGAGATAGATAAGGGTATGTCTCCTTAGCCTGTTATTGTGGTAAGAGAACCATCAACAGTGATGATTTTCTTATCACTCGGGCTAGGAGTGTAGTTGATGAAGTGGATAGTGGAGTGTGTCATGTGATATGTGGCTCCTGAGTCAATGATTAATACTCATTTCAAATGATTTCTAGAGGCACTTAATCAAATGGATATAGAAAATTTACCTCAAAGTGCAAAAGAAGAAGATGCAGGTGATTTTTCAAGTGATACTGGGAGTTGTTCTAGCTTATCAATATCTTCTTTGTTGAGCTCTCTGAAACTGGATTACATTTCTGGGTTGGGCTAACTTATTGTGGTGTGTTAGTTTGTATTCCATTCATTACTTGAGGGCTTTCTATGTAATTTTCAGCATGTCTTCTTTGCGTGTCTTGATTTCTTGCAATAGTTGCACCTAAGAAAGTTTTTGTTTTGAGGTTTTGAGAAATCCTTACCTCTTTTCTTCCATGACGCCTCTTTGGCTATCACCAGTGTTGAACCTTCAACAATCTTTGGTTCTAACATTATGCCTTGTCGGCTCACCTCAGCATGAATGAGAGAAATGGTCTCATTTAGTGAGGGTGTCTCCTCTTTGCCAAGGATCTGTACTCTAATTTGGTCAAACTCTGTATTTACTCCTGCAAGAAAGTCATACACTCTATCTTTCTCAATAAAGATTTTTAGGATAGTCGTATCTTCTGGACACTTGGTCTCTATGCATCTGTAGTGATCATGTTATTGCCATAAGCTTTAAAGGAGAGTGACATATTCAGTCGCGGTCTTGCTTTCTTGTTTTGTGCTTCCCACCTGGACTTTAATTTCGAAGATTTTTGCAGCATCCCGAGCTTTTGAGAAGGTTTTCCTGGAGGCATCCCATATAGGAAGTTTCACTAATTTTTGGAGTCTACTTCATCCCATGCCAAAAAATTAGGATATTCTTTTTTTGGTCATACCCTAAGGAGGTGATTCATCTTTTCTTTTCCTTTCAAAAAGGTCTTCACAAATTGAGACAACTTCAAATAATTATTTCCTTTTAAGCAATAAGAAGGTTGCATATTTTGGATATCTCCTCTTCCTTAGTGCACCATAGAGTCCTCCCTTTTTGGAGGAATTTGCTTCAGACATTGTGACAGCAAAGGGCAACAATGAAGGCTATATCAAGCAAGGAAACAATGAAGGTTGCGTTGGTTATAGATAGGATTACAATAATAAGGGAATGCTGGCAATGAAGGTACGACAATACAAAAATTCAGAATTCCGGCTACGACAATGAAGGCTCTGATACCATGTTAAATTCAAAGAATTGGAGAGGGAAGACGGCTTAATTTTATTTCACAAACTTGTCCATATTTATAGATATATACAATATATCTTAATAAAAAAACAAATAATTACAGAATAATGCATAATTCCTGTAATATAATACTTCCTAAATCAATTGTCTAAATATGGAAGGAGATCAACGCGATCTAGGTGAGCTTCCCACGGATTCCCATCGTAGCCGTAGGATCAAAATGCCAATCGACAACTAGGATTTAATAGGTGAGCCTCCCATGAATTTTCATTCTAGCCATGGTATCAAAATGCTATGGAACAACTGGGATTTAACATAGGTATATTTGACTTCAAAATGATGTTAATGCCTTATGTCATGTGTTTCTCATAGGAAACACCAAGTGTCACCTTCAGTAGTCATGTACACCACTTTAATATATTGAAGAATTGATAATACCATGGTAACATGATTGTTTTACCGTGAAGATACTGTAAGTTAATTTTTTCATTCCTTATAGTTAAACATGTGCTTGATCTTATATTTCCTGCTTTTCATGATTGTTTTACCGTGAAGATACTGTAAGTTAATTTTTTCAGTCCTTATAGTAAAACATGTGCTTGATCTTATATTTCCTGCTTTTTGATGTTATGAATAAAATATTTCAATAAGAGTAGTCCAAATAGTGTTGGATGAAAATTCTCATGGAAGTTGATTGTACGTAATTTTGTTATATTTTCTAATTAAATATGTCACAATTCGGCTCGGAGACTCGAATTAACGAGACATATATAAACGGTCGGATGGGTTTAAAATTTAATTTGCTAAAACTATTTCTAATATACTAAAAGAGCTCTAAAACCTCATTATAACTTTCTTTCGGAGTATCGTGCCTATGATACACATTCTTTCCTCTTCCACTCATTTAAATTCCTTAGATAATATGGGCGAATGTTTTGCAAATATAGAGCGGGTCACAACTTAGTTGATACGTCATGCTCCTATATTATAATAATGCAAGACATTTTAAATAATCTACATGCTCATTACAAAACCAAATAATTCTATTTAAAATTTATTTTGAAATGACAATCAATGTTATGGATATATATATATATATATCTCATATCTTTATCTTTTTTATAGATAATACAACCATCTCATGAGATACCATTTAAATAGTACCAAGGTACTATCTTTTTAATAACTTTTTCCACTTCACATGAGTGGGTACATTGTTTCCCTAGTCAGTACCATAAGATGATGTACTTCAATCATTTAATTATGCACATGCAATCATTTATATATAATAACTTTATTTGCATTATCTATCTTATTTCGTATCATTATGCATAATAAGCTATATATGAATCGTGCTAAATGATCGAACCATGATAAGTCTATATCATCAAATTCAGTTAGGCCAATTGCATTTCACAGAATTAACACATAATTGATTGGTAATAACATGTATTTAAGTGCACTTAGAAAAATTGACATTATTATTATAAATTAGGAACATGAGTACTCTCCTTGAATTTAGATGATTCGATGATCTACCTTACTCCTTGCTGTGACTTCAGTAATATGACACCTATAATTGTACATAATTATGTATAAGACATATATTAAATCTTACTATTATAAGCTCTTTTAAAGTTTATGTAGATTATAACATCTTCCTCTAATAGGCTATCTTAAACTTTTTTTAGATTTTAACTTTAATATTTTCTAACTTTATTTTCCAAAATATAATATCATAAAATTTACATTTTGCTAATATTATATCCTAATTTATCTAATAATTTTTATTCTATCTTTTATCAAATTTTATCAAATACTAAATATCAAATGATAATAATTTAAGATAAAATCTGAAGTTTTATTTTTTCTTAATAAAAAAAAAGATAAAAAAGATCATTATTTAAAAATTTTACTTCATCACTTAGAATAATAATTCAATTAATTAATTATGTGAAAATTTATTCTCCTTTTTTCTCTCTCTCTAAATTTATCTTTAGAATTGATAAAAAATCTTAATCTAATATATATTTTCTTTCCTAACATAAATGATATTTAAATTTACTAATACAAATTAATTTTTCATTTAATTTATATTTATTTTATTTTATTTATATTTAATTTCATCCATAATTTTATTTTTGAACTTAAAATATTTAAATTTTAAATTATATTTAAAATATCAAAATTAACCTTTTCTAATATAATTAAATAACTTTCTTAAATACTCACATTTTCTCAATCCTTTCAATAATCGGTTGGTATAGCCCAAGTCCTCGCCTTTGCTCCCTTCAGTGCTTCTCCCTTGCATGATTGTCCTCTCTACTTGAAGGCTCTTCTTCTCTATCTCACTATTCATTCTCTCCGTCTCTCCTCATCTCCTTCTCCTCTCTAGAAAATTTGAAGGGACGAGGCCTTCCATCTTTCTCATTACTCTAGGAGACGGAATATGCACAATCGGTTTGTCCCTTCATTCCATCTCCCTTGACACCAAGTGAAGAAAGGCCCTCTTCCCCATTTTCTTCGCCTTCTCGAGTGAAAAACATCTTCCTTGAACATTCCTTTGTCTCCCTCGACTTCCAAGCCACTGAATCGACGCCTTTGTGATGTAGAACGAAAAATGCTTTACTATGGAGAAGTCTGGACAAAGTAACTGTGAGTTGGAACAAAGTAAAGTAAACAGATTTTTTTGAGAAAATCGGTAAGGAATAAACAGCTCAGATTTTTTTATTCAGCTATTTTTGTTTCAAAAAAAAATTGATAAAAAAAATTCGAAATGTTTTCCTTAGGAATTAATGACGTGGGGAAGCGTTTAAGGCTCCAAATCAAATTGGAAAAGAAGAGTTTGGAGAGAATTAATGGGTAGTGACGTCTGGCTGCAGCTTTGGGAGGAAGAGAGCTCTTATTTCGGTGGGGCCTTGATCGTTCTTATGAAATAAATATCATTTGAAATGAATTGTCAGAAATTTGTTTCAAATCAAGTTTACCATCGTCATCATCACTAGCTTTATCTAAACCTATTTGGGGTTTGCTTTATGAAAATTTTCCCTGTCATTCCCATTGATGGTTCAAAGAAGGTTGGTAAAACTTAAAATTTACTTCTCATATAGATTCATATAATCTGAAATGTTTTCTCACTGATGTTCTTATGTTTTGATTCATACGTCTAATTATGTGGCCTTAGGACTACTCATGTTTATGCATACATCATTTTAAGGTTTGCTAATCTTAATTTTTTTTTTCTGATTACATCAAAATTACGATAATATTTGCAAGGGTGTGTTTGTATAAGTATGTGAAATTTTTATCATCGGCATTGTCATTTTTTCCTTCCCTCCTTTGCATATTATTGAATTTGTGAAGGCTCTTTCGTTTGATGATCAGTGGGATCAAGGTGAAGGTATTATAGGTACTAACTCGTTTCTCTTGTGTTTCTCCTTCACTTGATTTTGCAGGTCAGCTTTGTGTGGCCAATGGTGATCTCACACAGGCATCTATAACGACCTTATCACAAAAGCTTCAATAATATAACTTCAATTTTTTAATATTATTTGCATCCTAGGTCAAGGCTTTTTAGTGAGCGCTCCCTTTCCAAATTTTTATAAACCCTGATTATTACATAATTGTATAATGTGAAATTTTAATTATAAGCATTGGCATTTTTTCCTACCCTCCTTTGCATATTGTTGAATTTGTGAAGGCTCTTTCTTTTAATCATCAGTCGAATTATGTTGAAAGTATTATGTGTACTCGCTGGTTTCTATCGTGTTTCTGATTCACTTGATTTTGCAGGTCAGCTTTGTGTGGCCAAAGGTGATCTCGCACAGGCATCTAGCCAATTCAATATTGCTTTGAATGAAGACCAGAATAATGTTGCTGCACTTCTTGGTCAGGTATTTATGCTTTGTGAAAATAACATTTGTCATTAGTTATAGTTAAAAATCTTTTTTGCCTTGAATCATACGCGATCCATATGCCAACTAAGAGAATGTGAAGGCGATGGATGTAATTTGGTGAAGAATTGGTTCATGACATCTCATTTACAAGATAAAGTGTCGATCTGTTGCTTATTTCACTAGATGGACCATCAATATTGTTTGGAGCGCCGATAGTCCTGGAAAGGCCTTTTGTGTTGCTCGCGTTGCAACATGAGGATGTAACTACATGCATGAGAGAGAGAGAGAGAGAGAGAGAGAGAGTTGTGAGGGAGTTCACATATTTAAAAAATGCAAAATCAAAATAAAACGGTTTATAATATATATTAAAAATTAAATAGTAAATAATATAAAAAAATAAAAAAAATCAAATATGTTTGTGTTATTAAATTAAAAAAGTAACAATATATTGATAGATGATATATATATATATATATGTCATATATGTATATATATACATGTATATTAGTTTATAATAATAATAAAAATTAATATAGTTTTAATGGGAGCGGCTTTTGCTGCTGCCCTTACTAAGTGTGGCCATCCCAAGTGTGGCAACATTTGCTAAATGGGGGCCACTTGGCCTCATTATCATATAATAATAATAATAATAATAATAATAATAATAATAATAATAATAATAATAATAATAATAATAATAATAATAATAATAATAATAATAATAATAATAATAATAATAATAATAATAATAATAATAATAATAATAATAATAATAATAATAATAATAATAATAATAATAATAATAATAATAATAATAATAATAATAATAATAATAATAATAATAATAATAATAATGATAATGATGATGATGATTTATGTCACAGGCTCAGGAGAAGAAGGGTTGGTCCTTCCCTTCGTCCTCTCTTCTAAATATTCCTTCCCACTTCTTCTGCAATTCACACACAACTGAGTGCCCCATGCTCCCTCTCCTTTCAAGAAAAAAAATTCCTCCCACTTCCTCACTCTTTGTTACCCTATGCTTCCCAGCAAGGTGGTTTAGGAGCATTTGCTGCATTTTAGTTTGATTTTTATAACTGTTTTGGTATGATGAATGACAAGATATTTGCTGGATGCAACGGTTCAAATATCGCATTTACTAATCCATATCTGGTGCAGTTATGCATATAAGATAATCCATATTTAATTTATCAACCTATGAATTAATGTATACCTTTAGGGAGTTAATTTGATTCTTTAATAGTGCTCTGTAGGAATATGGCCCCATATGTCTCTTGCAACTCTATTAGATTTTTTATTCGCTTGGCTTCCAGCCTGACTATAGTGAAATCCAGTGTATAGCGTGGTATTACTACCTTTGACTTATTCTGTTGGATTTATTTCTTCCGGCTAAACAATGATAGAAAAAAAACCTTGCAAAAATTAAGGGTGATAGATATTTAAGCAAGTCAAGGAAAAAAAGAGAATTTTGAAAATCATTAGCAAAGGCATAATTTACTTAAAGCTTTAGATTTTTGTAAAATTTAAATGCATTTTATTTCAATAACTAAAACTTTTTTTTTGTGGGATTTTGTGCCTTTTTCACCACATTTATTATTTGAATTTCTTATAGGCTTGTGTTGAGTTCAACATGGGGGAAAATGAAGATCAGTATCAGAAAGCTTTGGAATCGTATAAGAGATCATTGGACTATTATAAGGTATAATTTTACTGCTTTTAATGCCAAACACTTTATGTTATCCATTGCATTCTTAGACTCTTATGGCAAGCAAATCTTCTTTAAAAAGCACCAAGTCGTTTGTTGTGTCAAGTTCATACTGTTTTTTGTGCTGTTAAACCACTGCATGACCCATCTTCTAATGCCTTATTTGACTTTTGTATGGTGTTTGGCAGGTCATTACATAAAAAATATGTATTCTAATCTTAGGTCATTTTTACACTCGTTTTCTTTATTTAGAAAAAAAAAGAATGATTTTGAGTATATTTCTTGTCTTATCTCTTGTTCCCATTTCTGGCTTTCTATCCATTATTGTGGTCTTAGAAGGATACTGGATATGTCAAAGGACTTGTCTACTAAATCCAATGTTTTAACGGGGTTACGTAATCTGGTGATCCAGTCCTCCTAAACATTGATGCTTTCCTAATCATTTTTAATATCTTTTTTATTGGAATACCAACCTAAGAAAACCTTTTTCTTCTTCATTGCCGAAGTGTCACGACTGCTCGCTATGGTAGCCTGCCAAATTTGAACTGCATGTATTTTTAATTTGCCATTATATTGGTACACATGCAATTGATTCCATAATTGCATTTATAAATCCGTCCTTCTAACCGTTTCTATGGACAATTTAGTGTTTTTTTATGGAATACTTGTGCTTTTTATTTTATAGTCATGACAAACCTTTACTCATTTTGAGATTGCACAGAGGGCACTGCGAGCTTATCCTAATTGCCCTGGAGTTGCAAGACTTGGTCTAGGTTATTGTAGATACAGGCTTGGCCAGTTTGACAAGGCCCGTCAAGCCTTTCAACGAGTTCTTGATGTAAGTGGTTATTTAATCGTGTTTATTAAGAATTTCATGATCTTTTGTATATTTTAATATACCCTTTATGTTTATCCCAATTTTGTAGTTGGATGCGGAGAATATTGAGGCTCTAGTGGCTCTTGGAATTATGGAACTTCAAACAAATGAAGGTGAGATTTCAAACTCTTAGATTAATTTATTAGCTGGTGAACACTGTATTTTCGGGAAGTATATAATGTAACGGGTTTAGTTTTGTGAGGATTTTACAATTTCCTAATCATCTGCTGATTCGATTTTTTTTATATTAATTCTGCGCAGTTGATGGTATTCAGAAAGGCATGGCGAAGATGCTGAGGGCTTTTGATGTATATCCATATTGTTCAATGGCACTCATTCATCTGGCGAATCATTTTTTTTTTACTGGTCAGCATTTTCTGGTGGAGCAGTTAACGGAGAATGCTCTTGCTGTAGGCAATCATGGGTTGATGAAATCTCATTCCTATTACAACTTAGCAAGATCTTATCACAGCAAGGTTTGACAAACATCCGTATCTATTTTATCTGCATATCAAACGTGCATTCTTGTGCAGCCACACGTGATTTGCTTTAGTTTATGATAAATGTGTTGTTGATCTTGTTCTTTTATTGTTTTTGAATTACCAATAGGGTGATTTTGAGAAGGCTGGGCGGTATTACATGGCTTCTGTCAAAGAAATCAATAAGCCTCAGGAGTTCGCTTTACCCTTTTATGGTTTGTTCTTATGCAGACTATCTGCCTAAAATGTTTATTCTGTGTTTACATCTTCCTGAAAGAATACTCCTAGATGGACATACTTTATATAAGCTGCTAAGATTTCATGTTTCACAATAACTAAAGTGCTTCTCCCATTTCCTGTTAGGAGTTTTAAATTTGTACTGCATTTAATTGAATTTTTAAAATGGGACGATTTGTTTCCAGTACTTTTCAAACCACTATTTTTATTAAATTATTCTCTGTGAAGATCAAATAAGATATGATATGCTGATCCGGGAAGCACCCAATGTTGTCAATTTTCTGGATTTTTTGAGTACCAAAATGGTTTGGAAAGTTCTGGAAAATCCTAAGATTTTTTAAAAATATTCTTTAGAGTTCCTAAATGCTAAAGAAAATATTCTTGATGAGATTGATGAAGTTCAACCTCCAAAACAATCTAGTAAGGGAACCGACTACTTCATGCAGGTTTCAAATTTTAATTTTTTAAAAATAATGCATGGGGTATGGAGCCTAGAATCAAAATAACAACCAATTCCATCCAAAACTCAGGAACCTGCCACTTGGGATATGTTCAAGGAGATTTTTAAATGATTTGCTTTTTTAATAGGTTGTTTCTTATTTTTGTTCCTAATTCATGTTTTCTAGCATTTAGGTATGTACTTTTGTAGGATTAGTTCCTATTTTTAGGTTAGTTTGAATTTTGAATGTCTAGATTTTTTGAATCTCTATAAATAAATAGTAAATATAATAAGTGAAAGCAATATGGGATTTGAATGCACAATTGATTATTTTATTCCCAAAAGTTCCATCTCAATCTTTCTGCCCGTTGGCCTCCAATCCAAGGATAAACAAAAATTTCTCGGCCTTTCTTTTACTCTCTTTGAGACTTCTTTTTTGCTATTGAGTATAACAAGAATTGAGACAACCAGTGCTCCAACTTACATGAAACTGCTGACTGCAATCATCTAGGAAAGAAATTGTGCATACATTTTGTGCTCTTCTTTGATGTATGGGTGGTGAAATTGCTGACTGCAATCATCTAGGAAAGGAACTGTGCGTACATTTTGTGCTCTTCTTTGATGTATCAGTGGTGAAATTGCTGACTGCAATCATCTAGGGAAGGAACTGTGCAAAGATATTGTGCTCCTATTTGATCTATTGCCCAAACATAAAATCCAGAGCAATTTAGAGATAAAAGTAGCAAATAAACATAAGGAGAAGCAATAGAGAGTCTCGGTTAGAGGTGGAGGAATAATATTAAGATGGTTTCTATGGAGGCTAATTACTTTCTCATGTTTTTATTAGTAGCACACTTCTATTTTTGCCTGATAAATTTAACATTATTCTTAGTGTTTACTAATCTCTAGTTTACGGACACCTAGTCATTCACATTGGGCTTTCTCCTTTTATTAATAAATTAACTTGATTGGATACCCTCAAACTATGGGAAGCCTTTTATGATTTTAGTATATTGCTTTGTGGAGTTTTAGGTTGAAAATAAAACGTCCCTCAACCCTTTAATGTAATTATGTGATACAACATTACAACCTAAACACCTAAAGATTTGTTTCAATCCACTTGGATGATCTTGGGCACACATCTTGTCAAATTTTGTTTTGGATCAAGCTCTCATAGCATGGTTCTTAGCTTTAAGAAATTTGACTTAGAATGATAAAAACTCAAACAAATCTTAATAACCAAAATGCTACGGGGGTATGCAACTAATAATAAGCATACAAGGAGAGAGCAATATATCAAATGCGAATGAAGGTATTAGAAAATATTTTGGAGCACATGGCTGGCTCAATTTCAGGCATAAGTATTCCGAAAAGAAAGAAGGGGATTCCCTTAAAAGTTGTGACAAGGGCTCATAGTTTCCTAAGGACATTGATGAAGAATGGGAATAACCACCGAGGATGAGGAAGACCAACCATTAATTAGACATCCACCTTTTTTCAAGGCGGCTGCCAAACTAGAGCTATCCACTTTTGATGGCTTAATGAATATGATTAAGAAGGACAATTGTTTAGATGATTTAGAACTATATTTAACTTTAAAAAATCTACTCCTGCGTATAAAATTGTATAAAATTGTTTGCTTGACTGAAGAAGTCATCCCACACATTTATATAATAGAATTTAGAATCCTTAATTTTGACTTGTTTTGAATGATATGGGTACAATTTAAGTGATTATTGAGGGTTCATTTATATCACATTAGCCATGAGGAGGAGAAATGGATCTAACGACAGTAATTGAAGCAAAGGCATGCTTCTAGAAATCAATTTTCTAGAATTATGAGTTTCCAAATGATTTAAAAGCTTCTAGATAATTCCCATAATTCTCAAAAGATTTAATAGAGTTTCTAGATGTAAAGAGAATATCTTTGACAATATTGATCTAGCTTAGTCTCCAAAAATATGAATGAATGGATTGTGGATCCTAGCATCAAAATAACAATCAATTCTATCCATAATGCAAGAACCAAACATAGAGAGAGATTCAAGCGGATTTTAAATTTTGTTTTCTTGTAGGTTAGTTTCCCACGTTCATGCTTATTTCTTATTTTTAAGCATTTAGTTGGCTACTTTTGTGGGATGGGGTTTTAGTTTTGTTATTTTGAATGTTTATAGACTTTTCTTTGACTCTGTATAAATAGATTTCACATCTTACTAGGGAAAACAATGTGGGAATTGACTATATAGTTGATTATTTTGATCCTACGACTTCCCTTCTCTCCTCATATCTGTTGATCCATGACCTCCATTCGCAGGGAAAAGACAATCCCTGATGCCTCTGTATCACTCTTAACTTTTTTCTAGTATCGACTGAAGTAGGAATCGTGACAACTAGCTCTCTAGCTCACCTGAAACTATTGACTACAATCATTTAGTGAAGGAACTGAGCCTACGTGCTATGATCCTCTTTGATCTACTGCTCAAATAGTGATTCAACTCACTATTTGCATAAAATCTAGATAAATTTAGTTGCAAATAGAATAACAAATAAACATAAGGAGAAGCCATGAAGATTTAGTTAGAGATGAAGAAGAATAAGGAGATGGTTTTAATAGAGGCTAATGGCTTTCTAATGTTTTATTTGTAAATTCTTTCATTTTTCCCCCATAAATTTAAGATTATTCTTTGTGTTTAATAATCTCTAGTGCGTATACACCTACTCACTGATATTGGGTTTTCTCTTTTTATAAATATGTCCACTTGGTAGGATACCCTAAAGCTATTGGAAAGCCTTGCCTCAACACACCCTGATAGAGTGGTATTATTGAACGAAAAAATGGGGATCTCTTTGAGATGTCAATATCTATTATGTTCACAACTAACACTACTAAAATTTTTTGGGGTGATGCCATCCTTACGAACTGTTATCTTATTAATTGGTTGTCTAGTGATGTGCTTCAGTTCAAAATCCTGATCAAAATTGCATTCTTTACTATTGACAAGAGATTTGCATCAGGGTACTGCGCTTATATATGGAGTAATATTGTAATATGAAGTAGTAAAAATCAAATGGTGTGGTAAAGAGTGGTGCATATAGTGAACTTAAATCATTGGCTGATGGGATCAGTGAATTAATATTGCTTAAGTTACTCCTAGTGAAACTTTAAGTAATAATCAAGAGTTATGTGATATTATATTGTGATAATAAGGCTTCTATTTGTATAACTCATAACCCTACCCATTATTATGGAACTAAACAAGTGGAGGTAGATTGATACTTTTTTAAGGAGAAAAATTTAAATGGAAATATTTTTGTTTTATATAATTCCCCCTCCGATCAAAGTGCTGTCATCCTCACTAGGGGTGTAAATGAGCCGAGCTGGCTCGATCTTGACTCGTTTATGGGCTCGCGAGCGGAGCTTATCGAGCTAACGAGTCAAGCTCAAGTTCGAGCTCAGATGAGGCTTAGCTCGCAAGCTCATGAGCCGGCTCAAAATTATTAAATTTAAATATTTTGAAAATAATTAATAATAATCAAAATTAGTAACGAAATCATTATGTAGTTGCAAAGTTCCCGCGTGTATAAATCCTTATGCAATTTCGAGAAATCTCAGTTTTGCGAGCCGTCTCTCTCCTCTCTGACAGACTTCTGCGGTCCAATAAATGTTGAAGTGAAATGTTCATTTATTACAGCTAAATAATAAAGGCTAACTATGCATTCTGCTTTCTCACTCTCTCTGTTTAGTTTCTTTCTCTCTCTCTCTCTCTCTCTCTCTCTCTCTCTCTCTCTCTCTCTTCGTGCAACTTTAAAAGACCGTGCCGGAGGCTCGACGAGTTTGAAATGCAAACTGGACTGCGCGGAGGCTCGATGAGTGGCTCGAACTCGTTTATAGTGGGACGAGCTCGAGTTCAAGCTCACTTTCTGACTAACGAGCTGAGCTTGATAGTGCGAAAACTCGACTCGTTGACACCCCTGATCCTCACCAAAGGGTTATTGAGTGCCCTATTAAAAACAATGATTGGCAAAGCTTGATTTGCATGATGTTGAAAAACGAGCTCAAGGGAGAGTGTTAAATTCCAGCTGCTACCCTTTGCAAAAGGGAAATATCAAATGCTAATCATTTTCGAGCTTTCCCTAAATAGAAATCTGGCATGTAAATGGTAGGTAGGGCTGGTGATATCTAATCCCTAGATGAAATTCTTACCGGTGTGAACTAGGATAGCTGGTAGGTCATCCCTAGATGACAATTTTTGTATAATTTTCTCCTTGACAGTTTGCGAATTGGGCTTGCTTGTATAGCTGTTGGCGTAGGGTTGATGGATGATTGATTCCTAGTGATTCTATCAATCTTATTTAGTATTTTTTAAAATTAAAACCTGCTGTAATATTCATATTTCTTTTCTTGTTAGGGTGAGTTAATTTTTATTTATTGGAGCAAAGTTTCGTCTAAAGATGCAATAAGGTTTTCCATTGTTTGGCCTTATTCTCTTCTTCAACATATTTTTTCTAACGAAGAGGAATACAGGTAGGTGATGTTGGTTACATATCGATGTTCCTTCATCTAAGGAATTTGAACTATTATATTTGTGCTCGGGGTTATAGTGGTAATGAATTGATAGTGCTTGAAATTTCTTGGTTTATGAAAGGGTCTGAAATGCAGCTAGTAATAGTCATGTTAGTTAGATGCTGTAGTACTTAGCACCTGCAAGGCCCAGTTACATTGCAACCTGTGCTATTATTTTCTGCAAAGAAATACTTTATTTTTGAGTTATCAGATCCTAATGTTTTAATTATCCGCTTGAGCTCCTTTTTTTTTTTTAATTTTATTTTATGTTTTGAGGCACATTCTGGGTTTCTGCGTCTGTTTTGTCGGTGTTTTTAACTTTGTTTTAGGTGCCTTGTAATGTAAGAGATTATAGAATCACTTGTTTTAGGATAAATTGAAATTTGATTTTCTTATAATATTCTTCTTGCTTGTTAATACATTTCTGAAATCATAATTTGTATCTATGAATTAAACAAGGTATCTACAATCTACTACTGATGCACAATACAAGCTAACCAACATGTCATTTGTACTCAAGCGTTAATTTGTTAAGAGGATTCTTTCATAAAAGAATGACTTCTTTTATGAAATATCCAATATTATTTTTCTTTTGTGCCTTTGAATTCTTTCTTTTTTCTTTTATTTTATCTTATGTAAAAACCATCCCATTAAATAGATAATGTTTGTAAGTCAATATTATGATGGTTTGCTTACAATATTTGCAAGCAAGGTTGTCTCAAAGTTTCACCTTCCATGTGTGGCCGTCCACCGTCGCTTTATATTTCTGTCCCTCTTTTAACGCCCTTCTCTTTTTTGGTGGAATTCTTCTTCTCCTTCCCGTCTTTTGAATTTTTTTTTAAAATACCAGCCTCCCTTGTCTTATCAAGTGCAAGAGGTTCTCATCCTTTCCAAGCCAAGACAAGCCCTGTATAGAAGTCTTCTTTATTTCACCTCGTCATCAACTATACTGGATTTACATAATCACAATTTTTAAGCTTTCTGTCAGGCTTGTCCATTCTAATGCAAATTTAATTCATTTATTTATTCACTATTAATTATCAGTTTTTAATTATTTTTTTTGAGACAGGTCTCGGACAAGTTCAGCTGAAACTAGGAGATTTAAAAAATGCCCTTTCAAACTTTGAGAAAGTACAGGAGGTTTACCCTGAAAATTGTGAAACTTTGAAGGTCAGTGGCTAGATATAAATGAAGATTGATCATCAACCTTTATTGGCTTATAAATTAGCTGAGATGAATTATTTGGATTAATTGCTCCGTATAGGCAGTTGGGCATATTCATGTTCAGCTTGGTCAAACTGAAAAGGCCTTAGAAATCTTCCGGAAAGCAACACGTGTTGATCCAAAGGATGCTCAGGTAAATGTTGCAGCTGATTTTGATTCGTAGCCACAAACATGAATGATATGCTAATATGTATTGATTTGAAGATGCCTCATCTCTTATTTAACTATTGAATAATGTAATATGCCCATATCATTCTAATTTAACTTGTATATAATATCAAGCTTGCAGTTTCTAAATTTGCATTTTCAAGGTGTTAGTATCCTCAAGCTCATCTAAATTGCCTTATTCTGGAAAAATTTGTTGGATAATAATATGGTCAAAAACCCATATGTGTGCTGTTTTCTCAATGCACTGGCATTAATACTTTATATTTGTCCATCTAATCCGAATGTAAATAAGTATAAGGTTGTTTGATTTGTTGTATTTATAGTAAGGTAAATTTTGATGGCACAACATATTCTTGAAGGTAAGGATGAGAAGTATGGCAGTTCATTAACTTCAAGCCTACCACAAATAGTTACTTTGCATTTGAGCTTTCACCCAACTAAACAGCCCCTATAAAAATCGTGTAACCACTGCACTTGGCTCCTGCCTGGGTTATGATGAGGGGTTGATATATACAACGCAACTGCTGCATGGACGAGATACAATCCTTGTTTGCTTCTTTGATTTTTGGGTCACAACGAAGAGAACCTCATTGTTCTAAAGCACTATCACTTTATGTATAATGGACAAATTCTCATTTCTTGCACTTAATCGGAAGTACTTTTTCCTCAATTTAAGTACTCATATGGAAAGCTGGCTAATTGTTTACTGCATGCGCTTTTTGAAATGTTGATCATGATATAATATACAATGAAAATATATAAATGAAGTTACTAGGATGACTAGTGATGCAAGACTAAGTATGAATGCGATATGAACTTGCACGTTTTGAATAAGAGCAATAAGAATTTAAAATGTTAGCCAATAAACGATAATATAAAACAAGCGAGAAGTGGCTCTGCTTAGGCCAAATCACATGCTAAAAGCTAGGATCACCAAAGCAATTTAGAATTTTAACCGATGCAAATTAAGCGGATTTTCAATAGAATTCCTAGGTTAACAATGAGATTAGGAAGGATAGAAAATCAAAACTCAAATCCTACAAGCGAATTTACTAAGCATTGACAGATAGCTTGGCACAACTCCTTGTGTTTGAATCACCACCTACAAGAGAAGAAGATTATGAAAGAAATTGAATAGGAGGAAAAGTTCACCCACGTCGTGGGATGTAAGTGAATTGCCACTGAACGTTGACAAGTTGATCTTCGATTGCTTTGGATAAGGTGAAGATGATACGATCCAGGTATTCTTTGACGGAATTGTCTATTTCTGGGTTGACGTCGAAGAATGTTGATCGGAGGATATCGACGTTTCCTTGCTCGTTGGAAGCTGGAGTCAAGATCGGGATCGGCCATACATCGATTCTGTAGGGTTGAAATGTTGGAGACGACGGTTTTTGCTTCCCTTAAAGACTCCTCTTGAGAGAAAGAAGTTTCTCTCAAGGATTCAAGTGGAGAAGAGTGGGAGAGGTGGCCGGCCAAATATGTGGGGCTTAGGGAAGAAATAGGTTCACATTTTGGGACGTAGGATGGAGGAAAATTTGGGAATTTGTTTTCCCTAATTAATTCTTAAATTTGGAAAGAATTAAAAGGGGAAAGGGGTGAGAGGGAGGGGCGGTTAAGAGGGAGGTAAGGGTTTTGAAATCTTTCGAAAGAGAGGAGTTAACAATTTGGAAAGAAATCAAAAGGGAATTAAAAGGGGGGCCGGCGGCATAGAGAGAGAGGGGACCGGCGGCTGCAATAGGGACGAAGGAATTAGGGAAAAACAATTAAGGGTTGCTTGTTTTGGACTTGGAGATTTGGAAAGGTTTAATCAAATCCAATTGAATTTAAATTCAAAAAGGATTTAATTTTAGAAACTTTCCAAAAATAGAATTTCGTAAATTAGGAAACAATTCAAATTCAAATTAGAGTTGAATATGAATTAAAGAAGTTGCCTAACTTAGAAAGACCAAATTGGAAAGGTTTGAAAACATGCTTTGATGTGGAGTTTCTAAGGGGGAAGGGGCCGGCGGCTAGGTGGCTTGGCCGTGGGTTGGGGTGAGGGGAGATGGGGTCGGGTGGGGATGGAGGACTTGGGTGCTAGCCAAAGGACAAGTGATGGTGGGCTTGTGGTTGGCCGGCAGTGGGAGCTTTGTGGAGGTGGCCAGCAGTTTAGGGTGTAGGTGAGCCATGGGGATGTAGGTGAAAGGAGGGAACAAGAGAAAAGGAAAAACGAAGAATTTAACCACGAATCCGGACTCTTCCAAGGTTGGTGGGTGATCTGCTTCCCTCTCCAAGTGATTTCTCTCCAAACCTCTCAAGCTCTCACAAGATCAAAATATGCAGAAATTTTCTTATAATTCATTTATTAATCTCAAAAGAAATATAAGGGGGCTATATATAGCCTCATACAATGAACCGGAAAAATAAAAGATGACTTAGCCCTTAGGGCTTACACATGACAAACCCTTAAGTAAGGGGTAAAAAGAGAAAACAACTAAAATAAATACATAAAGCAAATAAATAAAACAAATACATATGAGGACTCAAAAATAGATCGGCACGATTGTGGCCGTAGATCGGCAACCATATCTCTGATAAACTTTTCATGCTCTGATGTCCCCATCAACTAGTCTAAATCATAGTTAGTAATTTTCATTCTCTTCTTCCCCCCCCCTTTTTAGAATCATAGTGCATCTACAACCATCTATCTAGGATGACTAGTCTAGCAGCAGTGGTAACTAGACCGGTATTTTTGTTTTTATCCCCTCCCAATAGTTCGCTTGCTGTCTCTGAATGTAGATATCACCCTAGGATAATCAACATCAAGGGTGTAGAGTTGCGTTCTTGGTGGAATGTGTTGGGCCTTGAATCTATTCCTTCATACGTTCAACTTTTGCTTTTACTTACTGCAATTTGCCATGTTCCTTCTACAGAAGCATGCAAATGAATTGGTTAAGGATTCCCTGGTTAACTATTTCTTTTGTTCCTAATTCAATTGTAGTGATATTAACGTTAGTTAGATAATAACAAAGTACATATATTTATTTTGATATAAATTGGCTATGGGTGGGGAGGATCCTAAGGATTTATCTATGACTAATTTGAGTGCAAATATTGTTGAATTTTTACTTCTATTTTTTCCGTAAGCTCAAGATAATTAAGTTATTTTCAATTCGGGTTTGGATTTTTAACCTTATATCCCTCAAATTGTGAGCTAGTTTGTCTAAATAAAGAGGTTTACAAAAAATGGATGTTTGGAGAGGTTGGTGGACTGGGCTTCTGTAGCAACTGTCCTTGTATCATATAAATTCATGTAGATAAACTTTAAATGGAAATAAAACCATGTTTTTGTTTATTTTTGTCGTTAACCAAAAAAATGAGAGATTTTTTTTCTACCTGTTATCCACATTTTTTACTGCAACTATTTCATGTGAAGATTATTGGATCTAATGTTAAGTTCTTGTTTTATGGTTGACCTGTTTGTGATGTTTAACATCTTTAAATGCCTTCTTATAATTTTTTCTCAGCTTTGTTTAACAACTATCAGTTAAAATACTGGTAAGCTAAAAAGTCTAGTATTTCGAGTATATGCGTACATGCATTGTCAGCTAACAATAATAAACTTCTGTAGTTTTTTTTTGAAAGCATTGGAAATTTACCTGCTTGTTAGTTGTATTATTCTATCACTAAAAACCATGTTCTTTGTGGCCTCATTTTCTTTAAATAATGAAACATATTGTCAATCATAGTTAAACCTGGATTGCAATTCTTAGGTCATCTATAGCTGCCTGTACTTAATTTTTTTCCTTTTTTTAACATTATATATTCTGCTAATATATAGATTTGAATTTAAGTTTTTCAAGCGTCTTCTCAATCGAGTTTCACGCTGTTATTGTATGTAGGCATTTATGGAGCTTGGTGAATTATTGATGCCAACAGATCCAGGAGCTGCTTTGGATACCTTAAAATCTGTATGAATACCTTTACTGCAGTAAATTTTTTTTTGGAGTGTCCTAATCAAAATATTAAATTTGAATTATATTAAGAAAAGGTTGAGGTAGACCTAAAAAGACTCGGTTAAAAAATATTAGAAATGACATTTCTTTATTAGATTTATATGAGAATATGATCCTTAATAGGACATAATGGAGAAAAATGATTCATGTAGCCGACCCCTTATAGTGGGATAAATATTTGTTGTTGTTGTTGTATTGTCCTAATCAAAATAAGTTTGTTTACTCATGCTGATTTGGCTATGATCTTGAGTGGGTTTGACACTATCTCCAAAGAGGCATTAATGTTCAAAGCATGGGTTTGACAAAAGAAAATAAATAAATTAAAAAAAAACATGGGTTAGAGGCTATCCCCTAAGAGAACATTAATGTTCAAAAAAATACACCCCCCTCCTTGGAAAGAAAGAATTTTACAAGGTTCAGTACTTTACTAGAGGTGGAGTTTCCTATCTCGTTTTCATTTCTTATTTTTCCATGTGAAGGTGGGTGAAAGTAAGTCTTGCAGTTTGCTAAAGTTCTCTTCTTCTGAAAACTCAGTTATGGATTAGGTGCATCTTTGGGTGGAAAAACAGCGGGGGGAGCTTCATGAATGAAAACATTATCAAATATTAAAATATGGAAGCATCTTTATTGCATGTAAAGACCATACTTGTACCATCATTTTTATAAAAAAATTATGTCTTCCTCAAACTGCTAATTGTAGAGCTGCCTTATTCTGCTTGTGAATTACAATTAAACTGACCGTTTAAACATGCTTGATTGTTATTATTAACATTTCCTGGTTAATTGTCTCACACCCTTTGGGAGTTGAAAATTTTGATACTTGCCCATTTAGGTATGCCCCTTGTAAAATTTGTGGTTGTAGTCAGGCCACTATCAAGGGCTTATAGTACATTGTTATGTCTCTAGAAAGCAGGAGTCAGCCGCTCGCGCCCGGCACAGCCGGTCGAACCCAACAACAAATATGGGCGGGAACCAGATCAGCATGGAGGGGTTTTTGGCCCCTCTTGTGGGCCTAGGAAAGCTATAATTCATTATGTAAGGAGGAGGAATCAAGGGGGAGTTGTTTAGGAAAGCTTTAATTAAAATTGTGAGGGAATTATTTTAGGGAAAGTAATCCAATTTGAATTCAAATTTGAGAGGGAATCAATTAGGGAAATGAGGCTGATTTGGCAAGAAATTAGGGGAGCTTATTTAGGGCTAATAATGTTGTTATTTTGTATTATGCAATTTATTTTATGTTGTAGTTTTCTTTGTGAGTTTCTTAGGGGCTTTTAGGGTTTGTGGGAGAGCTGATGTACCTCTTGAATAGTAGATCACTTGCATCTTTCTTTTTTGTTGATGATATAATCAAAATCAGCCCCTATCTTCATATGCATGCAGTTTTTTACTTGATTCATTTTGCTGTTTTTACTTCTAAGACGCATCAAATTGGTTTCAGAGTGAGGTTTTGGAGAAATGTCAGCAAAGAAGGTGAATGCGTTGGAAGACAAATTTGAGCAAATCAAGTCCGTGATAGAGGAAATGTTATTAACCATTGAAGAAAGGTGTCACGAACCGGCCCGAGTACTCGATCTAACTAGGCGGGTACGAAAAGTCGGATGATAAAATTTCTTAAACAATACTACTTCATTTGTACTAAAGAGCTACTAAACACAAAAGGAAAAAAATTACCTGTTGTCATTTACACGTCGCATTCTGTAAACATATTTTTCTCTTTTAGTCATTTCTTCTTTAGGAACTTACCTGAAACATTTAAACTCTTGGGTTGAGTTTACTAAGTAAACTCAGTGGGTAATCAATAACTATTGACATAAAAATTATCATATAGTTTATTTGTTTTGGTAAGTCTATTCATTTAATAAGTAGCAAAATTTTCTTTAATTTCTATTCATTTTATTTCATACGGTCTATTATGCACATTATAACATTTCAATTTACATACGTAAAAGATTTACTTTAATATACATCCCTTTTCCCATTAAATTGTACAGGAGCACCGTTTCTATATACCACAGGTACATTCATTTCCATTTCCATTTCCTTTTTCTTTTCCATTTCCATTTCTCGTGCACGGGTACATTGCTTCCCCAGCCAGTACCATATGGGGGTGACTCCTGTACTTTTCATGTATATTCATTTTCTTTTCATTTATTTTTCATCCATTCATGTAAAATGCATTTATATACATATATACTTAATAATTGCATGTACGAATCATATACATATGTATGATTGCTTTCTTAAGTTTACTTTCTATTTCTTTGACATACTCGTTTATATATCTTCTTTTTCTTTCACATAATTGTATTCATACGTACCGTTGCTTATTTCAGTAATTATTTTCAAGAGTAGTAAAAATCATAAATCTAAACAATTTCGTATATATATATTTTTTTTTCAAAAATGAAAATAGAAATGAAATAAAGAAATTTAACTTTTATAAATACCCACTTTGAACTCTTTAGGCTTTTGATGCTTAATATAACCTTGAATTAAATTTCCTCTTTGTTGAATCCTCGCGAGTTCAATTCTTACGATTTGATCTCTCCTTTCCAAAAATCCTAAATTCCTACAATGACTTCATATCAAAATAATATTCTGATTTAATAACAAAATATTATTAAAAACTTTATGAGAAGAAATTCACTTACAATTGGGAATTTCTCAAACTCCCAAAATTCCTTCTATCCCAAATTCCTTTTTCTCTTCGCTTCAATCTCTTCCTAATTCTCTGTGAAGATGTTATTCGTGTTTAAATGAAGAAATTCTACAAAATTTATAAGAAAAGGAAGAATAAATTCAACAAACATTTTTTCCTTTTCTTTCCTCGTTTGTTTCTCTCGTTCTTGAAATTCTTCCCAATTTAGCACTTCTATAACGATAAGGATGAGAAGGAATGATTAATTCTTATCCCTGAATGAGATATTTTGCTAAAATTGGAAAACGAAACTTACCTCGCTCTCCCACGAAGCCCTCGGTCGTCCGCCCGATCCTCTGTTCGCGAAACTGCTCTGTTCCGCGACCCTTCTCCTATTTGCGGTATTAATAGGGTGAGACGGCCGGTTCAGTTGAACCGACCGGATGCACCGGTTGTCACAAAAGGTTTACCACCATGGAAAGATGATTTGGAGGGATGGAGGAGATGATGAGAAAGCTCATTGAGATGTAATCGAAAGATCCGCTAACAGTTCTGATTGCTAACCCTCTCTATGATGTGATCGGGATTCCCTTGGGCTAATCTAAGGGAAAACAGATCGAACGGAAAGAGTTCAATGAGGAAAGTTTCTTTCATCATGAGCCACCACCTAGGGCTTCAATAAGGGGAAGAATTGAGTTTTGGGGGATAACATGAAGGGAGTTTTGTGGTGGTGGTGGTGGAGTGACTAACCACTACGAACAATTTTTTTGCACAAGGGGAGTGAACCACTAAAGGAGGGGGACGAACCAAGCCATGGGAGGTGGATGGAGGAAATGTGGGATTCCAACCCTCGACATAGGGGGAACTGTTGGCGGGAGAGAAAGTTCGGGTGGAGATATTAGGGTGAGGAAACTGAAGATGCCGGTGTTCGAAGGGGAGACACCCATGGGTGGGTATACCGGGTGGAGAGGTATTTTACGGTGAATGGGTTGAGAGAGGAGGAGAAGCTTACAACTATAGGGTTATGTTTGGAAGGGAAAGCCCTCGCTTGGTTCCAGTGGCAGGATGCTGGATATCCGATCCGTTCATAGTAGGAGTTTAAGGATTGCTTGTCGAAAAATTTTCGAGCCATTTGGGAAGGAGACCTACTTGATCATTTCCTTACCTTGACTTAAGAGGGGACTACCATGGAGTGCAGGGAGAGATTTGAGTTGCTTTCGGGGAGGTTAAGGGGAATTTCAAAGGCAGTGTTGTTGGAAAATTTAATGAAGGACCTCAAGCCCGATATACAAGCGGATCTCCGATTGTTGAGATCGAGGGGGTTAAAGGAGATGATAGAGCTAGCCTAGATAGCGGAGGATTAGAGAAAAATGTAGAGATCAGTAAGAGCGGGGTTGCGGGACGCTCTTACAGAAGTACTAGCACCAAGGATCCAGACTGTGCCATTTCAGCGGGAGGCACCGAGGGAGAAGAGTGAGGGAGTTCGAACAATGGATAATTAAGTGTGTCACAGAGACAGAGGTGTAGGACAAGAGAGCGAAGGGACCATGCTTCCGCTGTGATGAAAAATATGCACTGGGCCATTGGTCATGGACCGCACACTCTTGGTCCTATGATTTGTGAAGAGGAGGAGACAAACAATGAGGATCTGGTGGAGGAAGAAGTAGGAGGGGAGCACTTATACCTGGATGTGGCGGAAGTGTCATTTAATTCAGTGTTGATATTTACTCCAAGTCATACCATGAAGGTAAGGGGGTATAGATTAGGGAGCAACCAGTGGTGGTTTTGGTGGATAGTGGGGCTACTCATAACTTCATCTCCAATCGGTTCATGGACCAGATTGATGTTGGTGGATACATGGAGCTTTGGAGTCTTGATGGGAACATGAAAGGTGGAGAGGAGCAAGGGGATTTGCAGGAGGTTGCTGACACTCCATGACATATAGATAGTAGAGGATTTTCTTCCTTTAGATATTGGATCACTAATGTGACCTAGGGATGAAGTGGTTATAGATTTTTGGGGAGACAAAGGTGGATTGGAAGTTGTTGACTATGGAGATTTAGGTTGAGGGGAAGAAGGTGGTGTTGCGAGGATATGTCAGCCTATGTAGAACCATAATTTCACTCAAAACCATAGCCAAATCAATACAAGGAGCACGACTGGGCTACTTGGTGGAGCTGCAGAACCTGGAGGAGGTTCGAGATTTAGAGCGGGTTTAGGTCCCTGAGTGTGTACATCAGCTTCTGCAACAATTTTTTGAGGGTTTTTTAGTAGCCTACGGATTACTGCCACCCTGGGAGCACGAGCACGCCATTACCTTGAAGGAAGGAGCTTCAACTATTAGTGCCACTCCGACTGTACCGGTACCTGCAGATTCAGAAGTCTTGAGGCAATGATTATTAGGCCGAGTGTGAGCCCCTTTTCCGCCCCCATTTCATTATTGAAAAAGGATGACAAATCAAGATTTTGTGTAGATTATGGTTTCTTAAACAAGGAAACTGTGCTGGACAAGTTTCCTATCCCTGTGATTGATGAGTTGTTGGATAAGCTGTTTGAGACGATCATCTTCTTGAACATTGACTTGAAGCTGGGTTATCACCAGATTAGAATGAATCCGGGGGATTTGTACAAGATAGCTTTTAGGACTCATGAGGGTCACTATGAGTTTTTGGTGATTCTTTTCGGCCTTATCAATGCTCCAGCCACTTTTCAGTCTCTCATGAACCGAGTTTTTCAACCCTACCTATAAAGTTCGTCTTGGTATTTTTTGACGACATCTTGATCTACAGTCTTACAGAGGCAGAGCATGTGGGCAACTGAGAACTGTATTAGAGATTTTGAGGGATCACCATCTGTATGCCAACTTGAAGTAAAGGGTATGAAATCTAAAGGTTGTCTAGGCTTGTACCCATATACAATCTCAATAGGACTAAGACTAATGGTGCGGTTCACAGAATTGTTATCAACAAATTCAGCCATATATTGATGAGGATATAAATTTTAAAATTATTTTTGGGTTGTTAACGTTCTTCGGGATTTCTAGATTTTTAATATGTGAAGACTTAAATTGTTTTAAAGTAAATATATCCTTATGCTATATGTATTTGAGTGCTGAGCAATCAAAAATTGTAAATAATAAGTTGGAATTTTAGGATGATATTAGTAAACTAGGAAGAATATAGTGAGAAGTGATTATATTTAAGAAAGTTGAAGTAGCATCTATTAAAGATAAGGCAGTAGAAGTAAACTTAAGTACTCTAGTTATATACAAAAAAATTGTAGAAGTTGTATCAGCAAGATAGGTTGATTGAATTAAAATTGAAGGATGGGAAGGAATAGGGGTGGGCAAATGATAGCATGACCCGTAGTTGTGAAAAAAATAATTTGCATTTAGTAGAGTTAATATTTCAGGTTTAGGAGTGTGCGAATTATAGAGGAATTAAGTTAATGTGTCATACTTTAAAACTATATGAGCGAGTTATGGAGTATAGGTTGCGGCGTGATACTAATGTTTCTCAAAATCAATTTGGATTCATGCCGGGTAGGTCTACTATAGAAGCAATACATTTATTGAGAGGTTTGATGGAGAAATATAGAGAGAATAAGGAGGATCTACATATGATATTTATTGATTTAGAAAAAGCATATGATAAAGTTCCAAGAGAAGTGCTATGGAGAGTTCTTGAAAAGAAATGAGTTAATAATGCTTATATTCAAATCATTAAAGATATGTATGCAAGAGCTATTACTTGTGTTCAAACACAAGGTGGTTTGACCAAGTATTTCCCTATTTCGGTTAGGTTACATCAAGGATTAACTTTAAGCTCATATCTTTTTGCTTTAGTCACCTCTACCGCCGCGAAAATTCCAGACCGCAACC